TTAGCTCTTTTGTAATTTTTTGTTTTTTGATTTGTGAAACATTGATTGTGTGGTGAGACATAACTTGCATGTGGCTTATTCTCATCAGACAACTTGCAGCTGGTTTGTGTCTGAATAACAACAACTGCCTTTCAAAAGGCACTGGTTTTCCAGACCTCATCCAAGACACAAGTGTTTATAAGCTAACACATGGCTTTAAATCCTAAAAAAATATGTAATATGTAAACAAAGCTAATATTATACAAAGATAATAAAAGACATAAGGGCACAACAAATAATGTGTATATTAATACTAAAAAATTTATGATTGGTCCATAAAGAAAAAAAACTGCATACAGAGGTGACTTCAAATGTATTATTTCATCTTACCAATATAGCATGTACCCAAACCCAGATTCTCCAGTCAAAAGTAAAAAATTAGGAGGCTGATGGCAGACTGGGGGTGACCTCAGCAGCACTAAGAGAGGAGAAATGGGAAATAAATGGTTCCCAAACCAGGCAAAACTTTTGTTTTTATCATCCCTCAAATACTTCAAGGTGAATGTAGCTCATCATGTCATAAACCTAGTTAATATGAGCAGGTGGATGCTCAGATCTCGGGTTTAGAAGAACCAGTCGTCTAGCTATTAAAGTAAAGAAGGCGAGGGCGCTCTTTTGCAGATTTGAGAGTTTTGTGTTTTTTGGCAATAGGCCAAAAAGTGAAACAAGCGGGCACAGGCTGATTGTTGAGCCCAATGCAAACGACAGGGAATTAAAAATAGATTTCCAGAAAGTGATTAGTCTTGGACAAAGCCAGAACATATGGAAGAGTGATGCAGGAGCTTGCCTACATCTATCACAAGTAGGGTCCATATCTGGTTTACCCTTTGCTATAGTCTGACCTTAGTCCAATAAATGCAATGTCTAAATTTGAACTGTATGAGGTTATGACGAGCGCATATAGAAGAGGATTTAATCCTACTTAGAACTTCTTTCCACTGCTCATCTTTAAACTTATGATCAAAATCGTCCTCCCAGTTTTGTCCTATGGCTATAACAGAAGAGGGAGAGAGTCCAGTAATGAGGTCATAAAGTGCAGACACAGCTCCCTTGCCCAGCAGAGGAGCACCTTCAGCAGAAGACTCCTCTTACCCAGATGCACCACAGAGCGCCACAGGAAATCATTCCTGCCTGTGGTCATTAAACTATACAGCACCTCCCTCAGAGAGTCAGACACCCCCTCTCTGTAATCTGACTCAAACATAGACAATAATTTTTTGCACTTTTTGCACATTATTACTGTACATTTGATCTTGATTCTAGAATAGTGTCTAGGGGCATTTGGGGCAGGAGTCTTGGGAAGTGTGAAGATGTTTTCCTGACAAAGTCTCAAATCTGAAAAAACCTAAAAAGGTGGGTCTTAACTGTGAGAAGGAGGCAAACACTCCATAAACATACAGATCCTAAATTTTTCTAATTCCCTTCTTAGACCAGAGCCCAAAGACATTGTCATTCAATGATGGGGGAAATGTTGGGTTTCTATTACAAGAAGTGGACAACTGGGATGATTGAGGCCCAAAGTGGGATCTGAACTGTCTCTGAACCCTATCTTTTTGTTTGTTCTTTAATGTGCTCAATGTTATGTTGTGTATTAAAGATTGACCAAGACTTCACAATGCTCTTTGGTGAGGAAGTGTCAGGTAAATTCATTGCAAAATGGCCAACATTCTTCAAACCAAGGATCATCGTAGATTGCCAAAAAAAAATCTCAAAGTGCGCATGTGGATGACCTTCTTCTGTCTGCCCAACAGGAGTCTGATGATGGTGGTAAGTTTACATTCTTCAAGGGCATTCACTGTATTGCCCACATTTCCTGTGATGGCATTTGACTATACCAGTGTTGCAAATCACTATTACTGCTGACCATTTCCAAAATCACTTAGTTTTTCTATTCATTATTTATATCCTACATTACAGACATCTGGATTCCATTTATTTCAGTGACATGAGAATCTACTTTCAGGTTTGAAACTTGCATAAGGATGATACAATGTTACTAATGTTCTGACTACATATCTACATTAAAGGGTTGCCTATCTGAAGAAATTGTTGTTAATTGTTATGTCTGGAATTAAATTTTCACCCTATACTGAAAGAAATTATTAATTGTAATTAATTAAATTGGTGGCTATCTTGGAGGAAAAATAATTAATCAATTAAAAAACAACATTGTGATATGGAAAATAGCTGGAAATAGATGTAATTTGCAATCAATAAATATATGTGGTCCTTTTAAGTTAAAGGAATTGCTATGGTGTTCATTGTCATTATTTAGTGTGGGACTGTGAGGTGGCTGCAATCCTTTTGCTTCTTCACCTGCTACCCCCGACATCCAAGGGCAGGAAGTCCTGCCTTTGATGAGCTCTTCAAGGCACATTTTGCTTTTGCTGTGTCCTATGATGAAACTTCTACACATTCATCCAGACGACCATGTATGGCATCGATGTTGGCAGTGTGAGGGAGAGTCCTCGGGTCAAAGAAATCAGAGCAAGAATTCTTCACAGTGCAGTTTGAAGAGGAGGATATCTTTGACTGGAAATAATGTTCACATGTTACATTTGCAGGGTACACCACACAAGTTGTTCAGTGTTATTCAGACATTTAAAGTTTCAGCATGGTTTGTACCCAGGAAGGACTTTGCGTTTGAACTGTGGAGAACCTGGATGCTCATTTGTTTTCTGCACATACTCTGGTTACAAGCGACACTTATCTCGAGCACATGGAGACTGTGTTGATTCAGGTGTCATCAACAATGTTAAGTCCGAGCCTGTAACTAATGTTGGAACCTCTGTTTCACAGCCAGTAGATGTGAATCCTCCCATGACTGTCACTGCACACATTCCTATTGAAACAAGGCAAATACTTGACATGTGCAGCTCTTTTATTGCTCAAGTGCAAGCCTCTGGAGTCCCCGAAAGTACTGTGCAATCTTTAGTTGGTTCAATGGAGGAACTGGTTAATGACATCCATGCTCATGCAAAACAAGCTGTTGTTGAATGTTCGTCATCTGATGCATCAAAAGAAACCATAGAGAAAGTTTGAAAATCCATTCTCATGTCTTAACACAGAATCTAAAAGGATGAAGCATTTTGAGGAAAAGTCGAAAATAGTTGAACCTGTAGCGCATATTCTTGGTGTGTGTTTTGACGTACTCAGAAATAGAACAACAGGCACCTACAGACAAGTTCCTGTCAATGATAAGTTCATGTATATGGCCATCATGGGGTCTCTTCCATCTATGTTTTGGAATAGTGAACTCTGTAATAGTTTCCAAAAAGCAAAGCGACACGAGGAGGGTTTTTATAGAGATTTAAATGATACTTACTTCAGGAATCACAATTTATTCTCACAACACGAACATGCACTTCAAATTAAGCTCTACTACGATGATTTTGAAACGACTAATCCATTAGGCTCAAAAAAGGGAGTGCACAAATTGGGCAGTATTTATTTCATTTTGAGAAACCTGCCACCGAAGCTTAATTCTGTGTTGATGAACATTCATCTTGTAGCCCTCTTTCACTCAGAGGAAAGAAAGACCTTCATTCAGCACATTGCCGTGCCATTCAATAAAATCGTGCTTTGGCCTCAACATTTGGTGTGAAAAGAACTTGTCTGCTCAATACCCTCCAGCTGTTCCATACTTTGGACAACTACGCAGTCGATATAATGCACGATTTGCTTGAAGGAGTGGTGTATTATTATTATTTCCACAACTTCCTGGTTCAAAAACTATGGCACGGAGTATCAGGTTGGGATGTACATCTGCTCTGGTGTTGAAAATGAGATGCCTTTGTTCAACAGGATCGTCAGTATAATTGTTGGAAATGACAGAGCTTATCTTCTAACTTGTAAAGTCTCAACTATGTATTTTGATGATTACTTGAATGCGTTTAGTATTCAGGAGGAATCTGATTTCTTCACACTGATCTGTGTAGATGACCTGATGTACTACAGACCTTATGATAGGCCATTTTCGTACGACACTGATGGAATGTACATTGTCCTATACTGTAATTTTGTAAAACTGTGCTGAACTGTTCAGTTATTTGCTGTGTATCTGCTATATTAATACACAGTATTTTTGTGCAAGTTGTTGTCTTGTATTTTTGTAATTTATAGGTATATGAGATAGGTCAATTGTAGTTAATTGTGTTACACCTGTCATGGCTCTGCTCCCCTCCTGCTCCCTTTGCTCCTCCTCCTTCCCTGTGTGTCTGATGAGGGTGCGGCCTCCATTCTCCTCACCTGTTGTCTGCTGTCTCACCTGCTCTCAATCATTCATCATGCCTCAGTCTTCAAGAACCCCGGTCTTCCTCCCATTCATCGCTAGATTGTTTCAGCCTATGTGGTGGTAACTCTCGTGGCCCCTTTCAGTATTTAGTTAGGCAACTTCAAGCTCTTTTGTGATTTTCCCTGTGCCTGTCCCCGAGTTAACCATTTCTCTCCCGTGCCCCAGGGTCCCTTTGTGCAGTTTGGCTTCCTGTGTCTGCTCACCTGTGCCTCTGTGTCTCCGGTCTCTTTCGCCATTTCACCCGCCCGTTCCTGCTGTGGCCGCCCCTCATCCCCCCTGTGTGTGTGTGTGTGTGTGCGTGTGGAATAAAACCCCTTTTAAACCTTCCATACTGTCTGGGTGTCTGCTCCTGGGTCCGGTCCTAACACCAGCCGTGACACAACTTGCAGCTGGTTTGTGTCTGAAAAAAAACAACTGCCTTTCAAAAGGCACTGGTTTTCCAGACCTCATCCAAGAGTGTTTTATAGATGAACGCTAACACATGGCTTTAAATCCTAAAAAAAATATGTAAACACAGCTAATATTATTCAAAGATAATCCTGATACAAGGCTACATCAAGGCTGCTGACAATGCTAAATAATGTGTATATTGTAATATCCTAATGTGGAAAATATTTTATGATTTGGTCCATAAAGAAAATATAATAATGAAAACTGCATACAGAGGTGACTTCAAATGTATTATTTCATCTTACCAATATAGCATTGTACCCAAACCCACTGACATGTACATAAAAGGGAAGTGTGATAGACTTGTTTGACCACCTGTTGATCTGTGTGTATAGTGTGTATTAGTTGTACTGTTTTCTTCAGCTTATTTGCAAATAGACTCATTCAAATCAACAAGTCCTGGTCTTCATCACAATGGCAACAGTTTAAAGATATTTAGTTTACTATCTAATCCTTGCAGCTCTAAGATGTTTCTGAGACTTGCATCTGTTGTACATATGAATTTTCTTTGTATGACATGATAATCCAATGTTACATTTGTTGATTATGTCAACTTCAAATGTTTATATATCACTTTATACAATGGCATACAGTTTACTGACAATGAGAACAATAATACTTAGACTATAAACTTGTATATGAAAGTAAATTCAAAGCTCACAACAATCTACTGAGATGTTTGAACTTTTTTGAATATCTGAAAGATCTTATATCTCATTTCTTTTGTCCTAAGACAGTAAATGAAAGGATTTACAAGAGATGGGCCAAGGATTGTCCAGATCATTAATCCATTCCACTCGTCAAGAGTTAATACCACACCTAACCTGGTCAAGATAATGCGGATAAATAACAGACTGTAATAACATGTTACTACGATAAAATGACTTAGACAAGTGCTGCCCATTTTTCTTTTATCACTATTTGAGGATAATTTCACAAAAACTATGATCCAAAAGTATGACAGGCAAATGAAAATGAAAGTGAAAAACAGAAGAAAAGATGATATGATTGAAATCATATTAAAGTAATAAGTGGGGTCAACACAAGTAGTTCTTATAATGGCAGCATAGTCACAGTAAATGTACTTCAGCTTTGAGGAGCAGTGAGGGAGAGGAAGCACAGTTGCCGGCATTACAGCCACAAAACTACAGGCAACAATCCACACGAGATATATCAATAGAAGAGTGCGAACATTTGTTAAATAACTTTGGTACTGAAAAGGATAGCTAACAGCAAGCAATCGATCAAATGCCATAACCGCTAAAGCAAACATCTCCATCACTGCTGCCAAATGGAAAATAAACATTTGCATTAGGCACGGTACATAGGATATAGTATTAACACCAACAAGTAGAACCCCAATTATTGTTGGACTAGCACTGGAGGTGTTCAGTATATCAACAACAGCAAGGTTGCAAATCAGAAGATACATTGGTTTGTGTAATCTCTTGTCACAAAGAATGAAGACAATGTTTACTATATTGGCTAGGGTAGCTATTAAATAAGTAATCAATATAACCACAGCGACTACCATAGGTCTTCCGATTGTTTCAAAACCACCTATAAGAAATTCTGTAACTTCAATTGAAGAATTCTGAAAAGACATTTTCAACACAATATGAAGATAAAAAAATCTAATCTCAAAGCAAAAGGTCATTCAACGTGTAAATCAGCCATAATCATTTTACAAAAATAACTGCGCTCAATCAAACAACTTTCACCACAACTAACAATGGAGTTTACCACACAGCTGTTTTTAAGCTCACCAGAGCAGTAACATTTCAATGGGTAGACCCATTATCCAATCACACTGGATTTTGATTTCAGTTCATATAATTACATAACATTATGACATCCAAAATACCAGATACAATGTGTTAGTGTAATTAGGCAGCTTTAAAGGCCAAGTGTGTAACCTTTAGGTTGATCTATTGGCAGAAAGAGTATCTCCTGAATATAGGAATATATAGGAATGTTTTTTGTCACATTAGAATGAACTGTTTTTATCTACAGAGGGAGAGGGTCCTCTTCCACAGAGACTGTCATGTTTTACAGTAGCTCAGTTCTATAACTGTTTGGAGCCTTTTAGCGAGTGGTGGGGTACAACCTGTACAGGTCACAGTCTATCACATGGATAACAACATTCACATTAAAGCTGCAGTAGGTAACTTTTATTAAAATAACCTTTTGTCAGTTTTGCTGAAATCTTCACTATATTCTGTGGTACATGAAACAGATAATCTGTGTTAAAATCCAGTTCCTCTGGCTCCTTCTAGTGCTCCTAATGGAATTTGCAAAAATACAGTTTTCATTTAGTCATGGTGGACTTTTTAGGATATTTTTAGGGGCCAGTTGTTTGCTATTCAGGATCAGGTAATCCGTTTTTAAGAACAGGTCCTCATTGGTCTGCACTTCTATGCATCTGGGACTTTCTACCAAGTTGTTGGTGACAATATAGGAGTGGACAAATCAACTGAGAGTGATGTAGTGAAAGCTGTGACAATTGCATTGGCCAGCCTGGTCAATCAGTTTGTTTCACTTCCAAAGGAAGACCAGATTGCCCAGACCAAGCACAAGTTTTTTTTCTTTTGGGGAACATGCCCAATACTGTTGGGGTTATTGACTGCACTCATGTGCATATCCAAGCACCTCATGACAGCATCAACATCCAACTTGTGGGCGACGATGACCTCACCATCACAAACTGTGTCGTGAAGTGGCCTGGGTCTGTTCATGATGCACGTATCCTGAGAGAGAGTGCTTTATACAGAGAGCTCAAAACCAACCGACCGGATGGCATAATATAAGGAGGCAGTGCCTATCCACTCCTACCATGGCTGACGACTCCTTTTCTTGCAGCAACCACACCTGTGCAGGCACGCTTCAACACTGCTCATTGCAAAACAAGATGTGCAATTGAGCGTTTAAATGGAGTTCTGAAGAGACGCTTTGCATGCCTTGAACTACTTGCGAGTGGAACCACAGGGACCATGCAACATAATACTTGCGTGTATTGTCCTGCACAACATCACTACCAGGCGTAATGTCCCTCTCTGTGATGAAGTTTATGATGCACCTGAGCCTGTTGAAGAACCAGACCAACCTCTGGCGTTCTGTCAAAATGGGGGACTGACTGGACGTGTAGTAAGGGATGCATTTGTTTTTGACAGGTTCATCTCTGATGATTGTTTCTTTTAAATTAATATGCAGTGATGAATGACAGAAAAATTCAATATATTGTTTTTGTTTGTTATTGAAATCTGTTTGGGGGATTATTTCATGGGGACATTTTTATTTTTACTTTACTATACTGAAAGGCCTAATTGGTAGCCTATGTCTACTTAATTTACTTTATCATTGTAACGGTTAAACAAGTCAAGTGCAAAATATAAATAAAAGTGTATATACACTAAATGATACAAATGTATTATTTGACCAATTTTAAAGTTTTACTACATTTTCTTCCTGGAATCCATCTTGAAATCCTACCCCCTGTTGGGATCAGGATAATCCTGTTTTTTTGGATCAAAGATATCCAAATCCTACTGACAAGTTTTGAACAACACAAACTGAAGGTTTGATTCAGATTAAAACTAGGATTGGGTTCCGTGATCTAATCTGATTTCAGATTCCTTCTTTCCCTTTTGAACAACCCATTTTCAAGATTTCTTCCGATAACCAAAATCCGATCAGCTTACCTTTGAACAACTGGCCCTAGGTTATCCGTCTCATCTACTGTTTCAGCAAAGTTATTTTCATAAAAGTTACCTACTGCCCCTTTAATTGGCCATAGCAATTTCAATTGATCTAAGGGGTCTCAAACTCCAATTTGCTCTTTGTTGTTTGTAGCCAAACATTAAATGACGGCCTGAAACCTGCTCTGTTCTTATGAACTGTTGGCACACATTTGCAGGCACCTTTGACTTTTTCCATTATTTTGTGCCACATGAAATACATTTTTTATAATAGAATTATGTTTTTATTTGGACTGTCAATGAAGGGGTTGTTTAAATTGATATGAAACAACTATAAGAAATAATAATAAAAACTAATTATATATTACATATATTAAATATATATATATTATATTTGGACATCATATCACAGGCCGGAGGGAGGGGGATGAAGGGCTGGAAATGTAGCAGTTTGATATCCCTGACCTAAACTGAATGTATTTTAACTAATGCGGTAATCCAGATCATCCAGAGAACATCCATGCAAACTACACAAAGAGTCAACATGTAGCTCAGTCGCTCCAAAACTAATGTAATGCCCATTAGTTACACACAGTGTAATCCCCATTTTTTACAGTTTAACAATGTGTAGAGATATACAGCCTAGTAGATTTCAGATGTAGTTGCTTAGTTGTTGCCAGCAGGGGTGTGCATTCATCCCACGCAAACGCTGGTAGCGCCCCTAATTTCCTTGTTTTTTTTCTCAGTTCTCGTTTTTTTTTTTCTTGCCAAACCTGACAGTGTGGATATTGATATTTATCGAGTGAAAAACTCTGGTTGTTTTTTTTGTATGAGTGGATTCTGATGGCGAGCCAGAGCCTAGACCGGTGGATCGTGGAGCGCAGGCCTACACGCGTGGAGGGTGTGACGTCAGCGGGAGTTTCACTGTGCATTGGAAAGAACATCTCCTCATACAGATAAGACCTAAAACATAAAATCACACTACCCGGGTAGATGAACAATTACACAACACACTGAAAGTGAACTTTTACATAAACACACTGAAGGACAAACTGTGAATATTGACTAAATTCAGACTTGACTTTTTTTTTGGGACTGATTTTGGACTCTTTTGACTTATTCATTCTTGTTTGTTTATTATTTTGGGCCCATATTTCATAACTCAAACTGTGAAGTGTTTTGCTGTTCTACTAAGCGTTATTCAGTATAATTTTCTGAGTTGTTAACTTCTGATTCAAGAAAGGAATTCAGTCATATCTGAAATATTTTATGTTTTGCACTTAAAGGTGGCTGTTGCCAATAAAGCTATTTTTGTTACTACTCTTTCCAAACCGTTGTCCTGTTCCATCAATCCTCCTTGAGCGTATCAATTTCTTCTGATAGGCCTAAATTGAGAGTACATGACAATAATTTTATTATATGTAGATTAGACAGTGTTACACTAACATCTAACCCCAACAAACCTATACAACTTTAGTAGTCTAGACTATATAATGTACAATCTATCTATTGATGTTGTGTTCAGTACAACAGTTTACCATGAAAAAGTTTTGTCTTGGAGGCAGAATGACATGTTTTGTTTTTGGTCGATGATACTCAAGCAACAACACAAATGAGTTCCAAGAGGAAACTAATTAGTGTCTGATGTCAATAATGCTCTGTCTCAAGTGTGTGATTAAAGTGTTTAGTGTGAGTGTAGGCCTCTGTGTGTGTCTATGCTTGTACCCTAGTGAATTCTCATCTCAAAACAGTCTTATGTAATGTTGTTGTCTCCAGAATCGCATATTTCTCTATAATCGAAACACTGTGTTTTACATACCCAATACTTTCCTCTAACTTTCTCTGGGAAGAGCAACTCTTTAAGGTGTTGTTTACACATGGATTGATATCTTAGTTCAAGGTCCAGTGTGTAACATTTAGGAGGATCTATTGGCCGAAATGGACAATACCATTCATAGGATTTCATTTGTGTATAATTACCTTAAAATAACAATCGTTGTGTTTCTGTTGTCATAGAATGAGCACCACCATCTTTCTAAAGTAGCCCAGAGTGGACAAACTAAAAACTGTCTCTAGACAGGGCCTTTCACATTTTTTGTGAGTCATAGCCAACATAGTTTCTCCTACATGTTTGGAAGGCAAGTGGTATTCAGTTGCTATCTGCAACTTCACTGATAGATGCCACTAAATTCTACACCAGTCTATTAAGTTCCATAAAATTGGGAAACACAAAATATCAACGCTACAAAGAAGTGAAATCTGTGACGCCAGGAGGAGCAGCCTGTAAGACAGTGATACATGGGGCCTACAGCCTTGCTGTATGGTTCTGAACTGCCTGAGAGTCTTCCACATTAAAAATGGAGTATATGGATCTACAGCTATTACTCTAATTATTAAGTTTGGCAGACATAAATACGTTAAAGTAAAATGAAAGTAAAATTAAGTTATACTAAAAACTAAACAAATGTCTAAACAAGTGGGTCCTGATCTGCTATTTAAAGGTGTCCATACATCATAAGTCATAACAGGAGAGAGTTGCAATGTCTCCTTTTGTCAGCGCACTGCACCTTAAGAAAACACATTCAAATTCAAACAAAACAGAAGTAAAGAAGAAAAAAATCTCTTGTGCTTTTTAGATGAAGCTTCTGTACACCACAAATCATTCTGCTACAAACTTACCATTACATAACATCACATAACCATTACTTATACTAAAACTACAAATAACTACAGTAATAATGACAACCTCATGCAGATATTGTCCAACAACCAGAGGTGTAAAACCCAAAAGGCTTCATATTTCATGTTTTTCATTGACTTGTAACCTTGAGGGTTATGCTGTAAAGCTAACCCACACAGATCAAACTGTGCTGAGAGACCACCATTAAACACTGGGGATATTAAAACTCCTTCCTCAGTGTTAATTTAGATACACACTGGGGTTTTGTTAAAGTGCAGATGTTTACTCCTATGGGATTTATAAACCATTAGCATGATTAAGTTAATGGTTCTTTTAATTAGCCATCACAAGGTGGGTGTTCCTTGTGCTGCACAGCATATACAGTATTTCCCCACTGGGCAATTAAATGTTAATTACTATTTTATAATTATTATTACAGGAGTTATTGTCAGAAAAGTAAGATTAACACCTATTGAGAGAGACTAATGCTGTAAAACAAAGATGACTCAATATAATGTAATGTTTCGATTACCAAATGATACACAAGCAATGGCTTTCACTGGTTTACTGTACTTTTTGTGCATCTTGAGTGTATGGATGTCTTTCTGGTTGATGAAAAAACATCCATTATTGTGGCTACAAGAGATGAATTTACTCATTGTTATTGATCGACAGAATAACAAAGGGTGGATCCTGTACGGCCATCAGAAAGCAGGCTTTGAGAAGTGTTTTCAAGAGGTGAATCAGCAGGTGAATCGTATGCAGTCATACTGTAAAAGCTTGAGTGATATAGCCATGAACCTTATAATGAGAGTGACTCACGTCAGATGAAAACCATATACCAATTATTGCTACTGTTTAAATCTTTGAGACATGTTTAATCACTGCCAGCGGGAAATCAAAGCATTGTGACTGAATTCGTCCTTACTGGATTCCCTGGACTTCATCCAGAGTATCAAGGCATTGCCTCTGTTGTATTGTTCATCGTTTATTTCTTAACTTTGACAGGCAACTCTACAATTATTTTTTTATTTGCCATTGACCACAGCCTTCATAAGCCTATTTATTATACAATATGACCTTCTCTTTAGCACAACCACTTTACCTAAAATCATCAGTATATATTGGTTTCAGTCAGGGACTATTTCATTCACTGCTTGCTTTGTCCAAATGTACTTTGTTCACTATCTTGGCTCAGTGAATTCCTTTATTCTCTTCCTAATGGCTTTAGATAGGTATAGGTATATCTGTCATCCTCTCAGATATCCACTTCTTCTTAAAAACTCCACAATCTACATTCTCAGTATTTCTGTGTGGATTGGTGCCCAGGCAGGTCCTTTAATGTTAGTTATTAGAGCGTACCCTCTTCCTTACTGTGCCTCAAACATAATCAACCACTGCTACTGTGATCATATTGGTATAACCATGCTGGCATGCACTGACAGGGCACCTTATGGTTTTCTTGCTTTTGTGTTAGCGATGGTTACACTGCTGGGACCTCTGGCGTTTATAGTTTTCTCTTATTGCTCTATAATTATATCAGTACTGAAGATAGCAAATGTACAAGGTCGACTCAAATTGCTGTCCACTTGTAGTACTCAACTGATTATAATCGCACTCTATTATTTACCCAGATGTTTTGTATATTTAGCCAGCAATGTTGGTATTACATTTAGTGTTGATGTGCGAATAGTAATTATTATGCTGTATAGCCTTTGCGCTCCCATGATCAATCCACTTATATACTGCTTAAGAGCTAAAGACATGAGAGAAAGCCTGTGGAAGCAATTCAGCAGAAAACTCATTCCGCAAAAAGCACAAGTTTCAGCTATAAATAACTGATAAATAGCCCCCAAAAATATTATCCAAAAAAAATAATGAATAAATCATATCAGTCTTTTAAATATCCTGGTACCTGAACTGTTGAATTCTGTATTGCACTTTACCTTAGATCTTTCAATGTCTCACACAGGTTTCTGGTGTCGTCAGGCCAAAAACAGCTTCCTGGAAGTGGGAGCATTGTAGTAGTAATACAATGCTAAATCCAAATTATTCTTGCTTGTGTCACGACCGAACTATGGACTAGAACCCAATTGCACAACTCAGACAAAAGTATCACAATAAAGTTTTATTAACAAAACAACACTCTTGCGAGGTAATACTAAAAACAGAAAAATCACTCTTGCAAGGAAATGCTATGGCTAAGAAAACAAACAGAAGATCACGAGCAATAAAACAACAAGACCTGACAATTGGACATGGATTGATAAAGCGCTGGTTCTCTGGTGCATGGGACAAGACGAACTGGCACCACACACGCACTCCCAGGAGCGGGAAAAGAGACAAAGGGAGAAAGTAAAGCTGGTGACAAGAGACAGACAGGAAGTAGAACCAAAATAAAACAGGAAATTACAAGACAACATAGACGTGTGAAAAAACAGAATAAATAAACTTAACAAAGTTTCCTGGACATGACAGCTCGCTCCTTTTTAAAATAATTATTGCCTATCTGTCGACATCCAGCTAAGAAATTTTGGTTTTCTCCACAACAAAACCTCCTTGTAGAAGAAATGTATACAACCGGTCAAATAAATACAGCTTATCAAATGTCTATGTTTATTATTCTGTTTACATTGTATAATATATTATTTAGTCCAGAAGACGAAAGAAGAAACAATGGACTGTAATCAAGGGTAAACTCATTGTAGTGGATGTCTGTAGGAAAGTATTGAAAATTAAAGTAATATCTAGTAAAATCTGATTCCATAAACGATATCAGAGGACCTTCATGCTGTAGTAAAAATATTGTTGATAACAAAGAGGACAACTTCAGACAATAAAAAACACCAATAAAAGTTTTGCTTTGCCTTATGTCAACTCTTATTTCTTTTCTGAAAAAGTTGCACTTGAACACACAGCAAAAACCTATGAATGGACAGTTAACTGCTGCCATTCATCTATATTCTGTGTCTGTATTCTTAATACAAAAACCTTAAAAGGTAAGAGCAACAAACTACTTTCTCACACTGTGAATATGTTTGTAACAGTCTTGCAAAATGCTATAAGTATAAATTGGGAATGTGTTATAAAAAGCTTTTTGGTTTTGATTTGCACTTTATTGGCAGCCCAAGGTGATTTTTCTAGTGGAAGAAGAGAAGGGAAGATTAAAAACAATGAAAAGGCTCTGCTTTTTATGTCACATTTTATCTTGTGTAAACATGTTCCACTTGATTACACTGGCTTGTGGCCAGTTAACTGCTGTGATACACCTATGTTCTGTGCCTTGGTGAGAGGACATCAATAAGAAGTCTGTATTCATAATCCAAAAACCATAAAAGAGCAACAAACAAAAGCAGCCACTTCCTCACACTGTAAATATGTTTTGAAATCTTGTGAATCGGTTTACACATGGTCTTGCTGCTTTGAATACAAATCGACCTGCACTAAAGTCGGCTGCTCAACTTTTTTTTCTTGTTTTTAATTTTAGATTTAACAGTGCTTGACAGCACGTATTTTGTCATTTGTCTGGTTCTGTTTATGACGCTTTAATGGCAAGTAACATGCACTTCACATTTGTTCTAACATAATACATTTAGCTAATAAATTGCATCTTCTGAAGTTAGTCATTACTGGAGAGATGCAGTATTTTGTTTTACTCTTACTTGAATAATTACTTTAATGAGTACCTTTACTTCTACCTGAGTCAATATGATATATAAAGTAACAATACTTTTATTTGAGCACCATTTTTATTTACTCTACCCACCACTGCATATCAAGACATAAGCACTGCACAGTGCACACAGATGATCCCACCTCAAACATATAATTACATCATTCTTTAGGTAGTATATATAAGATGCTGTGTACATGCAGAAGTCAGTTGGGATCTTCGGGATGCACTGCAACCTTGATTCTCAGGGTTGGGATTTCCCTCTAAGCTCTAACTACAAAACAGTACTTCAGAGGCAACAGAAAAACAGCAAGATCAGCAAGACTACCTTTAGATTTATGTCTGAATGATGACTGATGACCAATTACAATCTTGCAAATTTCAAATGCAAATTTTGTGTTATTTTAACACATTAATGATAATGATTTATACAAACATAACAACAATGAAGGACTTCATAATACTTGGATTTCCAGGACTTGACCCAGTATATTATGGACCTGTGTCCAGGATATGTACCACAGTCCTTTAAAGTAGCTGTAATTAAACCCCTTCTTAAAAAGCCAACTCTTGACCCAGGGGTTTTAGCCAACTATAGACCAATCTCTAACTTCCCCTTCCTCTCTAAGATTCTGGAGAAAGTAGTTGCCAAAGAGTTGTGTGACTTTCTACATAACAATAGTTTATTTGAGGATTTTCAGTCAGGATTTAGAGTTCATCATAGCACAGAGACAGCTCTGATTAAAGTTAATAATGACCTTCTGATTGCTTCTGACAATGGACTTGTCTCTGTACTTATCTGTCTCTGTACTGATCTTAGTGCTGCATTTGACACCATTGACCATGATATTCTTTTACAGAGACTTGAGTCTCAGTTTGTACATGTTAACGATGAATCTTCAATAAATACTACAGTTAGTCATGGAGTTCCACAAGGTTCTGTACTTGGACCAATACTATTTACTTTATATATGTTCCCTTTAGGCAACATTAATAGGAATCACTCCATTAACTTTCACTGTTATGCAGATGATACGCAGTTATATCTATCGATCAAGCCCAGTGAAATTAATCTAAATTACAAACATGTCTTAAGGACATAAAATCCTGGATGAGCTGCAATTTTCTGATGTTAAACTGAGAAAAAAACTAAATTCTTGTTCTTGGCCCCAAAAACCTTAGAGACTCACTGTCTAAAGATATAGTTACTCTAGATGGCATTACCTTAGCCTCTAGCACCACTGTCAGGAATCTTGGAGTTGTCTTTGATCAGGATTTGTCTTTTAACTCCCACATGAAGCAGACCTCTAGGACTGCCTTCTTTCATTTATGTAATATTACAAAAATTTGACACATACTATCACAGACAGATGCAGAAAAACTAATCCATGCATTTGTTACTTCAAGGCTGGATTACTGCAACTCTTTATTATCAGGTTGCCCCAATAAGTCCCATTAAAACACTCCAATTAATTCAGAACGCTGCAGCACGAGTACTGACAGGAACTAGGAAAAGAGATCCCATCTCTTCTGTACTAGCTTCTCTGCACTGGCTCCCTGTAAAATGTAGAATAGAATTTAAAATCCTCCTCCTCACCTATAAAGCTCTTCATGGTCAGATTAATATTGATTTTAGTTTCACCCAAGATTTCTAAAAAGTAAAAAATTACAAGTTAGTGTCTGTATTGATTTTGTGCTGTTTTGATGTGTTCCTCAAGTTCAACTCATCATTGGAAAGATACAAACAGCACATGACTCTTTGATTCACATTATGATCCTTTGAGGATTTGTTATATAAACTTAATAAAAGGCTGATATTATCCTGCAGACATACATTGCAATGGGTTTTTGGATCCTGTGCATCAATCTGGAAAGTACGTAAGCCATATATTCAGACTGACTGATATACTGTAGAGTATCATTTAAATGAATAGTTGGGTTTTGGATAATTATTAAATTATCTCATATGTTGGAAGTATATTCTGCAATTAATATTTCAAAGGTCTAATCATTGTTTCTACCTTGCAGGTCTTTATTTCATATCTTAGTTCTGCTAGACTTTTTTTTGTACAACCAAATTATGATTGCCAATTTTACAAGGATGAAAAGCTTCTCCATCCTTGGATTTCCTGGACTTTCACCACAGTATTATGGACCCGTGTCAGCTCTGCTTTTTGTCATCTACCTAGCGATTGCAGTCGGAAATACTTTCATTTTAGCGTTTGTTGTCTATGAGAGGTCCTTGCAAAAACCAACGTATCTGGTCTTTTGTCACCTGGCATTGAATGACTTAACATTTGGCACTGTGACTCTCCCAAAGATAATATCAAAATATTGGTTTGATGATAGTGTTGCTTCATTTTATGGGTGCTTTACACAGATGTTCTTTGTTCATTATTTAGGATCAGTGACTTCTTTCATGTTGTTGGTAATGGCTCTTGATCGATTTATTGCAATATGTATTCCACTGCGTTATCCTGTCCTTATCACAAACAACATCATATCTGTGCTCTGTGGGTTTGCTTGGTTCATACCTCTGCCTTTGATGGTAGCTGTCGTACTCCATGTCCTTACTTTACCTTTCTGTAAATCAAATGTCATTGCTCAGTGCTACTGTGACCACATTTCTATAACAAGTCAGGCATGTGGTGAGGATGTTAAAATAGTTGCAGTCACTTCTCTTTGTGTTGCCATGTTTTGTCTTTTGCTTCCTCTTGCATTCATCTTGTTTTCGTACATTTCCATTATTGTGGTTATTTTGAAAATGTCCAATGCTGCAGGACGCAAAAAAACCCTTTCAACTTGTACCCCACAAATATTCATCACATGTCTTTTTTACCTTCCCAGGTGTTTTGTTTATGTAGCAAATACTGTTGGATTTTCATTCAGTTTAGATATTCGCATTTTATTGATATTGTTGTACAGTCTTTTTCCTCCTGCTGTTAATCCAATCATATATTGTTTCAAGACTCAAGACATTAAGAAGATGTTGATGAAGAGGCTAAAGAAAACTAAAATTGGAATAGAGATAAAACTTTCGTATTGATGTGCAGCTGTAAACGATAAGCCTACAGTAGGAATTATCAGCCCTAGTATGTAACATTAAAGACAAACCTCACTTTCACAACTCTGACTTCACACTTAGCTGCCAACTTTAATTGTTGCTTTCCCTCATACATTTCCCTTTCCCTAACATTTCTCAAAATTTCCTTGTGACTTTTTGTTTCATTTCCGCACCTTTTATGTACAGGAAACAGTAACGGCAAAGTGCTATCTAATGTCAACTTCCATCTAGTGTACTGAAAAGTGTCTCCTCTCAGGCAGGGTTTTTTTGGACAAAATATGTGATTTAAAATATATTTACCCATTTTGTACAGTTAAATGTATACTATGTTGATACCTTGAGTTCATAAATGAAAATAATCTGTTCTAATCAAAAATTTGAGTATGGCTTAGCCTCTTTTGGGAATCTTTTGTCTCTTGTTTTCTTACATTTCCATTAAATGTCCAATGCTGCAGGGTGCACAAAACCTTTCAACTTGTACCCCACAAATATTCATCACATTTCTTTTTTACCTTCTGAGATGTTTTGTTTATTAAGCTAATACTGTTGGATTTTCTTTCAGTTTAAATGTTTGGATTGTATTGATATTGTTGTAGTCTTTTCCCTCCTGCTGTTAATCCAATCATATATTGTTTCAAGACTCAAGACATTAAGCAGATGTTGATGTAAAAGGCTGCAGAAAACTAAAATTGGAATAGAGGTAAAACTTTAATTCTAATAACAAACTGATGATAAAACTTTGGCTTACAAGAAATGTGACTGTATAACAGAAAATAATTTTTGTGTAATGTGTGTTTCATGAATGGTAATTTCAGGTGTCATTGCTGTTCAAATACTGCACTATATGTCATACAATGGAAGTGGTGAGCTAATAATACTGTACATTTTCTGCATTATGATAGATGCCTCAAAGTAAAAGTAAAGTCTTGTTTTTACTCTCACACAAGGGTTTATTTTTCATTCATTTTGGGAATTACTATGGAGCAGTACACAAGTATGTGTTTCCCCTACATTCAAAATTAGTGTCACCTCTAAAATTTCAGACACTTAATATCAATGGCTATTATTGATTTTTACTCACACATTGTGTGAGTAACCTGGTAGATGAGGAAAGGACCAAAACATATTTGTCATGTTTGCTTGTGACATGAGTCTGCAACACTGGAATATTTGGGAAAATATGGAGTTGGTAAAATAGATGTGATGGACAATCTTTTTATCAGATTGAGCCTCGAAGTAGACATACTGTAATTTACTCAAATTAATGAACCATTCAAGTCATCATCATCTATAACTTTGAAATCCACACAAGTTCATATTCCCAATCCTTCTTGATTTTATTAAGAGAGGCCTCTGTGAGATGGGAGATTAACATGTCAGTTTTGGAGATGGGGCCTATCTGATTCTTGGGTATGTCCAAAAGTGAGTCTATTACTGGGCTAGGAGGAATATTGGGAAAAAAGGGACTGTTAAGTTTAACAAAGTTACGAACCTGGAAGTATGGAAATAGATTAGATTTTGGGCGGTTAAATTTTGCACATAGTTCACTGAAGCTACAGAAGACATTGTCAATGTACAGGTCCCTTAATCTGGCAAGGCCTGACTCCTGACATATAGAAAAGGCTGCATCAGTACTGGGAGGGAAAAGAGATGGTTATTGCAAATGGGACTGTGGTCAGACAATCCCTAGGGGCCAAAAGCAAGTCTAAATTGTGACCAGATTCCTAAAGTGGAAACAACAATCGGGTTACATGAAAATAGGGTTGGTCAAAAAAGAAAACTCCTTTTTATTAATATTAAGAAAACACCAAGGGTCCATACTTCCTATTTAGTTCACAAATGATGAAACTGCCTTTTTAGAAGGGATAGAAGATTTATCTAACAATAGGTCCATTGCACCACTAAGGTCACTGCCCAAAATTAAATGGTGGGAGGTTAAATCAGGTAATTCCTGTCTAATAAATACTTCCCAATTTGGGTGCATAGAGATTGACAAGAAGAACAGCAACATTGTAAATGGAGCCTGAAACTATTACAAAAACGTGAGGCTTGAAGCCTTGAGGGTCAGCTATGACATTAGTTGGGCTAAACTGTATTTTCTTTTTATGTATTTAGATAGCTGTACCCCTTACTTTGAAATTGGAATGAATGGCCAACCCAAGGCGCCTTTAACTTCTGATGATCTCTGATGGTCAGATAAGTCTCTTGTAAAAAGGCAATTTCAGTTTGAAGGTGTTTTAAGTGGGCTGTTGATCCCTTTGACATTCCAAGTGTAACCAAGGAAAGGTCTTATGCGAGTTTACCAGATTTTATGATGGGTACCGACAATTCCACCTTAGGACTTTCACCTAAAGAATATGAAGTTCAGTCAGCCAACTCACATTTGGAATGTTTATTAAGCAGTACAGCCTATTCAGATTTTGGCGTCTAGGCTCCGACCTCATCACTCCCCGCAGATATGTTACATAGAAATATTGGGGAGTGATACGCAAATACCTTAACCCCCAGTCAGAGCCTGCAGGTGGATGCTGGGGTGGTGGTGGGGCTTACAGCGCAGCAGGCAGCAATAGCTTACAGAGCAGCAGCAGCAACAGCAATACGGATGCAGGGCAACAGCGGCATTGACAGAGCAGAGGGAGAGCTGGGAAATTGTGCTTCTACAAGAGGGTTTCCCTTTAAATAAACATACACAGGTAAGTCCACAAACGAATACGGAGGTTGATGTATAAATATATATCAACAGTCTTTATTCTTAACAAAGTTAAGTTAAACACTTTTTATTAAATATTATAAAATATATAGATAAATATATATAGTTGAATACTAATGTATACAAAAATGTAATGTTTAATCAGGGATTTTACCAAGTTCATCTATAATCAGTGATTTCACCAAGTTGACAGAGATTAAAGATCCAATAATCAAGTGACAGATAAAACTTAACTTAGGGGAGGGGCTGCAGCTAAAAGCAGCCGGGGTAATTTGTCTGTAAGCCCTCAAATAAAAAGACAACAAAAAAACAACTAAACTATTGACAAACAACCGAAAGCACACAAGGGGAGTGACAGGAGAGTTCGCAAGAGAAAAATATACACACTTGCAGTTCAATAGGCCCTGGACAAACACCGCTGCACCCACCCGTTACAATACTGCACACTGTTACTAAGCAAGACACCCAAGCAGTAACAACTATCCCTAGCAGCTATCTTGAAATAAAATGAACAAAATAACAAAAACCCAAATTAGGACAAATGTTGATTTGATTAAAGCAAAACCAATTTAAAGGCTAAGGGCAAACTAAAGTACAGCTAGCCAACAGCAGAGCAGGCTAACAAGCAGACCTATCCTTTGTCTGGCTGCCATCTCCAAATAAGCCTTTGCAGAGTCAAAGGCTATGTGCAGGCACTTCCGATGCGCTGCCACCCAACCACAGAACTTCCCTGCTGTTGGCTCTTGGTGATGGCCAAGCAGGAAATCCACAGGCAAGTATGGTTCTTGGCCAAACATAAGAAAGTGAGGGGGTTCACCCATCGACTGATGAGCGATTGTGCTATAATTTAGTACCAACTGGGGGAGATGTTCAGGCCAGTGGCTCTTCTGGACCAGAGGGAGTGTGCGCAGCAGGTTATGCAATGTCAGGTTAAATCTTTCACATTGGCCATTAACCTGAGTGGTTAGAGTCTTCTGTACTCCATACAGTTCACACAACTGCTGAACCAAGGCACTCTCAAAACTTCTTCCTTCGTCAGAATGGATGCGGGCAGGGACCCCACAGTGGTAAAACCACTCTCTGACACAGTGGAGGCCTTCTGATCCCGGATGGGGATGCTTTGGATGAACTTAGAGAAGACGTCCATCATCACCAACACAAGCTCAGAGCAGGGAGCAGTGGACTCACTCTATTTCTGTTTTGTTGAAAACGCTGGGACCCATCACCTCCATTAGCAGATCAGGACCAGGAGTTTGATGAAGAGTTGATATATTTGACTGGAGGCCAAGGTTCACATCCAGGCTTCTCGCCAAGAGTCTCGGATAGCTTTAGGCAATCAAAGCACTTAGGTGAGCAAATTTAACCAAAATTGATTTTTTTTATCAAAAGAGAAAAGATTTTTCTGTTTGGTGCCAGAAAACCTATTTGAGCCGTAGAGTGCTATTTTCTTACAGCCGATCAAAACATACCTATAAGCCAAACACTACAGTACCATAACCAAGAGTTTAAAGTGCCTAAACATAAACGTAAAAATGTTAAATGGGCTTTTGTTGGTACGAGCAGATATCATAAGGAAACAAGGGAAATACTTCAGTGAACATTTATTTTTCATGGCCATAAGCCTTAAAACCAGGTAGAACTGGTAGGAATCTTCTGAGAGCATGACCCTCTGGGATCCACTTGTTTATTGTTAAATACTATCAACCAGGATGTTCAACATACATTAGGTGACACTGCAGTGAGGTGTTGCAGTGCGCTCATGGAAGCAGATTCAGTTTTTACAAGGTAAGATTTACACTTAAGATCCTCCACAGAATACATGGCATCATCAGTGGCTTATGCTTTGTTTGTCTTTTGTCTTTATTTGATATTTTCTTGAACTTCTAATCACATCTAATAACTGTGTCAATCTTGTGTGTTTTCTATTTGATAGGTTGTGACTGTGAATTCAAGTGACTATGTTCTACACTAATGTAACAAGGATAAAACATTTCTTCATCCTCGGATTTCCTGAACTGTCACTAGAGTATTATGGACCTGTGTCAGCCCTGCTTTTTGTGCTTTTCATGTCTATAGCTGTAGGAAATATTTTCATTTTAGTGTTTGTTAAATGTGAAAGGTCTCTTCACAAACCTACATATCTGATCTTTTGTCACTTGGCATTAACTGACTTAGCATTTGGGACTGTTACTCTGCCAAAGATTATATCAAAGTACTGGTTTGGTGACAGCATTATTTCATTTTATGGATGCTTTGCACAAATGTATTTTGTTCATTTTCTAGGGGCAGCTCATTCTTTCATCCTGATGGTGATGGCCCTTGATCGTTTTATTGCAATTTGTGCTCCACTGCGTTACACAGTTCTTTTCACAAATACCACTGTGTCTGTGCTTTGTGGAATATCATGGCTTATGCCAATATCATGGATGGTGGGTGTAGTTATTGATGCTCTTACATTGCCTTTCTGTAATTCAAACATTATTGTACAGTGCTATTGTGACCATATAGCAATAACAGCGCTTGGATGTGAGAACGTACGAGAGGTTCAGATAGTAGCATTTGGTCTTGCCATGTTCAGTTTGTTGTTGCCTCTGAGTTTTATTGTCTTGTCATATTTTGTCATTGTGCTGGCTGTTATGAGAATATCCAGCTCTGAGGGCCGCATCAAGACCCTGTCAACCTGCATGCCACAGCTTCTCATCACATTTCTGTATTACATGCCAAGATGTTTTGTGTATCTGGCAAATAATTTGGGATTCACTTTCAGTGTTCCAGTTCGCATTGTTGTTGTAATGATGTACAGTCTTCTACCTGCTGCTGTCAACCCAATAATATATTGTTTCAAAACCAAGGATATCAAAGAAAGCTTGAAGAAGAAATTCCTTATTAGAAAAATTAACATCAGCACAAAAACTTGATAAAATACAATACAATTTTTTTTTTTTTTTTTTTTTTTTATTATTGTCAACTTTATTTTCTTGTGTTCTTAGCTCATGTTTTGACATATTTTCATTCTTTCTCTCCACATTACTCTGTTGTTTTATTGAACTGTAAGTACTTTATAACTTTGTTTAAGTACATAAATAAAATGTATACAGTTTCTCATTATAAACAGATTTCATATCAGCATTCTCTGTTCAAAAACTTTGACAAATGCTAAAAGCAGGGAAACAGCTAACCCAGCTTTGTCCAAAGGCCTTACAGCACCTGTAAAGGTCACAAAGTAGCCTGTTATCCTGTTTAATCCATTTTGTTTTATGGGGTCCAGGTGTCTGGCTGCAGTCTTTTTGAGGTAGCAAGGAAACAGAACATGAGTGCGGAGAGGAGCAGCAAAAATGTCCCCTCCTTGCTCACAGAGCTGTTCATTTCCTTTGCTCCTGTTCAAAGCCACTCAGGGCTGCTCCGATCAATCAACTATTACAAAACGGCCTTGTGTGTCAGCTATCTCATTAGTTGGACTAATACCTGTACGCCTTGCTTTGCTACTGACCCAAGGTGCCTTAAACTTCTGATGATCTCTGATGGTCACACAAGTCTCTTGTAAGGAGACTATTTCAGTTTTAAGGTGTTTTAAGTGGAAAAATATGCCACCTCTCTTAACTGGGCCTTTGATTCCTTTGACAAGAAACTTAGACATGCTTCTCCATTTTGTGTTAAATTACCCATAATCAATCATTAGGGTGTATGCAAAGACAAGTAACATAGTGCCTTGTTAAAGTAAGTAGAAAATAGAGAAAAACAAATAATAATGATTAAAAAAAACAGCCTTGTAGGACCTAAAGCACAAATACCCAAAAAGAAAACTCTCAGAACAGAGACCCAATGATCACACCAAAACATTCCTAAGCTTGTTCAAAGCACTAGAACTATTAGCAGGATCTTATAAACCTTTGACTTACATATGACCTAAACCTGTTACCTCCTTAACACACCTGAGCAGGCAAGGCTCCTGTAACTGCAAATACACCGATCAGCCATAACATTATGACCACTGACAGGTGAAATGAATAACACTGTTTATCTCTTTATCATGGCACCTGTCAGTGGGTGGGATATATATCAGGCGGCAAGTGAACATTTTGTCCTCAAAGTTGATGTGTTAGAAGCAGGAAAAATGGTCAGCGTGAGGATTTGAGTGACTTTGACAAGGGCCAAATAAATCTGCAGCTCTTGTGGGGTGTGCCCAGTCTGCAGTGGTCAGTACCTATCAAAAGTGGTCGAAGGAAGGAAAAGTGGTGAACCAGAGACAGAGTCATGGGAGAACAAAGCTCATTGATGCACGTGGTGAGCGAAAGCTGCCCGTTTGGTCCGGTCCAACAGACAAGCTACTGTGGCTCAAATTGCTGAAAAGGTTTATGCTGGTTCTGATAGAAAGGTGTCAGAACAGACAATACATCCCAGTTTGTTGTGTATGGGGCTACATAACATTATGACCACCAGGATGCCCAGGTGGTGATAATGTTATGCCTGATAGGTGTTTGTCTATAACTTAAAACAGAGTAACTTAATAAAGGGAATTAGTGGAGGGTAACACCCATAGCAAAAAGGTAACCCCTGACAACCAAGTCTTACCATTAGCAAACAGACAAAAGTAACAATGGTAAAGTTTTAAGAAACAATAGAGAGAAAAAGTAGATTACAATGCCACTGCTTAGTGCCAAATGCCTCCATACCTGACTGTCCACACCAGGTTATTTAGCAGCAAACAAACTTGGAGAAATTACAAGGGCCATCGACTTTCGGGGTCACCTTTTCCAGAATGGTCCATTTATGAATGACCATTGGCATTAACATGCATTTAGTGCAGATGAGGCTTTCGTGTCCCTTGAACCGGCTTAGTATCCACTAACCAGTGGGAGTGACCCACTGGTTCCAGAATTCCTGAGCTTTTTGTGGTGAGTCTAAATAGTAGTTATCGCTCCGAAATGAAACCTGGAGACAAGCAAGATGCAGCAGGTGGAATTTCATTCCTTTCAGGTTAAAAGAGTTTCTAACGGCATTGAATGCAGCTCGTTTTTTAGCCCGAGTGGTGCTGATGTCCAGGGATACTCTCAACTTGGAGCCTGTGTTGCCTGGACCATCTTAAAACGTTCTTTGTCCTGAAAACAGAGGAATTTGATCATGAAAGCTCTTGGTTTCACCACGCCAGCATCTCCTAGTCTGGGTGTGAGGGAGTGGTGGGCTCGCTTTATCTCCGGAGGATGTTGAGAACGCTGGGACAGGGGCACCTCCATTAGTAGATACAACCTTTGTCGGATCCTGGTCCTTCTCGCTTCCTTTGGGTATGTTAATTACCATCAGACTAAAACGCCTGGACCTTTTTTTGAGGTCATCCACCATTTCCAGCAGTACCGTGGCTTGAGATTGTAGAGATTCAACAACACCTTCCATCTTGGTGAGTTTTTCAAAGTTTCCACTCATCAAACCTTTCATCAGACCTTTACTTTTAGTAAGACGGTTGTTGAATGCTGACATTTGTTGCCCCAGTATGTCCACTGACTGCTTCAGGGATTCTGCTTGCTCCGGCTTGTTTGCTGTTTTACCAGGAGTTTGATGAAGGGTTGATGTATTTTGAGTGTTCAGTGGTAACTGGAGGCCTAGGTTCACATCCAGACTTCTCTCCCTGAGTCTCGGATAGCTTTAGGCAACCAAAGCACTTTGATTTAAGCAGGGGTCAGCAAACAAATTGGCCTTATAATGCCAATTTCTCACAAACGATCAAACATACCTGTAAGCCAACCGCATTGGTGGTGCAAGCAAATTAAGCCACTGTTTGGAAACCATAAACTATTTTATTGAACATGTCCTGTCTCATGTCAACACTGACCCAAGTTGAACTGGTGGAAATCTTTTGGGAGTATGACCTCTGGGAACCACCTGTTTTTGTTAAATACTATCAAACAAGATGTTCAACATACATACATTAGGTGACACTGCAGTGAGGTGTTGCAGTGCGCTCATGGAAGCAGATCCACTGTAAGTTTTACAAGGTAAGATTAACACTTAAGATCCTCCACAGAAAACATGGAATCATACTACAGTGGCTTGTGCTTTGTTTGTCTTTGTTTACATCCTTTTAAGACTCGAAGAAGTTAGGTCAATTGTTAATGTCTCCATTTTATTTGATATTTTCTTGAACTTCTAATCACATTTAATAACTGCGTCATTCTTCTGTGTTTTCTTTTTGATAGGTTGTGACTGTGAATTCAAGTGACTATGTTCTACACTAATGTAACAAGGATAAAAAATTTCTTCATCCTAGGATTTCCTGAACTGTCACTAGAGTATTATGGACCTGTGTCAGCCCTGCTTTTTGTGCTTTTCATGTCTATAGCTGTAGGAAATATTTTCATTTTAGTGTTTGTTAAATGTGAAAGGTCTCTTCACAAACCTACATATCTGATCTTTTGTCACTTGGCATTAACTGACTTAGCATTTGGGACTGTTACTCTGCCAAAGATTATATCAAAATACTGGTTTGGTGACAGCATTATTTCATTTTATGGATGCTTTGCACAAATGTATTTTGTTCATTGTCTGGGGGCAGCTCATTCTTTCATCCTGATGGTGATGGCCCTTGATCGTTTTATTGCAATTTGTGCTCCACTGCGTTACACAGTTCTTTTCACAAATACCACTGTGTCTGTGCTTTGTGGAATATCATGGCTTGTGCCAATATTATGGATGGTGGGTGTAGTTATAGATGGTCTTGCATTGCCATTCTGTAATTCAAACATTATTGTACACTGTTATTGTGACCATATAGCAATAACATCACTTGGATGTGAGAACGTACGAGAGGTTCAGGTAGTTGCATTTGGTTTTGCCATGTTCTGTTTGTTGTTGCCTCTGGGTTTTATTGTCTTGTCATATTTTGTCATCATTTTGGCTGTCACGAGAATATCCAGCTCTGAGGGCCGCATCAAGACCCTGTCAACCTGCATGCCACAGCTTCTCATCACATTTCTGTTTTACATGCCAAGATGTTTTGTGTATCTGGCAAATAATGTGGGATTCACTTTCAGTGTTCCAGTTCGCATTGTTGTTGTAATGATGTACAGTCTTCTACCTGCTGCTGTCAACCCTGTAATATATTGTTTCAAAACCAAGGATATCAAAGAAAACTTGAAAAAGAAATTCTTTATTAGGAAAATTAACATCAGCATAAAACCTGGATAAAATACATTAAAGTAAGTGCAATTAATAAAACGATATAATTATTCATAAAATCAAGTGATGTGTTTTCCTTTGCTGTTTCAAATGTGTTCCATCTCTGTGTAGAAACAATTTTAATATTTTGCTATCAGGCATTGCATGGTCAGTCTCATAATTACAATTGAGAAAATCCTCTATGAGTCACATTTTAAGGTCTGGTATAAAGTGAATTCTGATTTGGTTCCTTACTCAGGCAAGGAGATCCAGGGTCGAGAGACCCAAAAAGAGAAGACTCAGTCATCACTACCAACATATTTCTATTCTGTGTCTCCACATTACTCTGTGTCTCCACATTACTCTGTTGTTTTATTGTACTGTAAAAACTTTATAACTTTGTTTAAGCACATAAATACAATTTATACAATTTCTCATTATTATAAACACATTTCATATTAGCGTTTTCTGTTCAAAAACTTTGACAAATGCTAGAAACAGGGAAACAGCTAACCCAGCTTTGTCCAAAGGCCTAACAGTACCTCTAAAGGTCACGAAGTAGCCCATTTTTTTCATAAACTGTTAATGTTGCTTTATAGGGTCCAGGTGTCTTCCTGGTTGCAAAGAAACAGAACAGTGCCTTCCTCACGGAGCTGTTCATTCCCTTTGCTCTCCTGTTCAAAGCCGCTCGGGGCTCAATATCACTCAATGCTCACATTTCGCCCTGCTCCACTAAAATTGCTCACATCTTGCTCAAAGGCTGCTGGACAGTTTGAAGTTTTGATTGTCTCAGTCTGTATTTAAGTGACAGACAATGTTTAAAAAACATTTAATATGAAAAAATAACAATGATAATAATATTAACAATAATAAAAATAACAACAAGTTATGTGTCCATGGCTTTGATGTAGACTGATTAATGGTCGCTTTCCATGTCCACTTTGATTTTCTAGTTGGTATATATACTTAGTTGAAAAATCTGCTGCTAATTTTATTCTTCTGTTATATAATTCTATAGACGATATTGATTATTTATTTCAATTGATTAACATGTATATTTAAGTTTTATTTTAAAAGATTTACTTTAGTTAAGAGAATTGTCCATTCAAGAGTTTTACCATTAAAATTACATTTAGACTATAACATATTTCTCATAGAGAATATATATATAAATGATGAATAGATATCTGTCTTGCATTAAAATAGTGAATTCCACTGTATACAGAATTTTGCAATTGTGCAGGGTTGGCTTGGCCTGTGGTGATGGGGCCTAATATGATATCTTTTCACGGGGCCCACAATCTGGCAGTGCTTGAAAGAATCTTTTAACACGGTGATTTTAGAATGAATATAATTCTTTTATATTACTAGCCAGTGGCGTGCACACACTTTTTGAAGGGCAGGGGCAGAAAAAAGAAAAAGGGCACATATAGCGCGTCCTCACCACCAGAGGGCGCTTTAGCACACGTTTTGGCTCCCAAGAGGGCACTCTTGATTTTCCTAGGTATTGTAGTTGGCAATGCTTTCATTTTAGCTGTTATTATGTACAAGAGGACTCTTCACAAACCAACATACGTGATCTTTTTTCACCATGCAATGACAGACATTGCATTCGGCATTGTGACTCTTCCAAAAATCATTGCCATATACTGGTGGAACGACATGACATCTTCATTTGGAGCCTGCGTTACACAAATGTATCAAGCGGTACCTTACTGAACTTCACAACTCACAACAACTCCATTTCCTTGTTCGGACCTTCCACTTGACTGAACTAACTAATCAGAAGCTAGAACTTAGACTGAGGTAAACGTGAGGGGATCAGAGAGACAGATTCAACAGAATATCTGTGTTAAATATGTAAAAATGTAAATAATAATTGTGTAACATAAATATGTAAATGATTAACTGACTAAACATTGTAAATACATTTCTAGTAAATTAACTCAAATATAAATTATATTAACTTCTGAGCCTTACAACTTTCAAATATGAATTAACTCCACTTCTAAACCTTACAGTATGAGTATGTCAGTCAGCATCACTTTTGTCAAAAGAAAACTTTATTTTTAAATGCAGAAAGTTATATTTGGCAATGTGGCTCTGTTGTAGGCCCACTTTGCTCTGTCATGTGCATACATGGAAAGCTTAAGACAAGGAGAGCAGCAGCAAAATTAGACTCTTTATATCCTCTAAGGATATACATATCTATGTCCATGCTTTTGGACAGTCTAGGCCCCCAACCTCTGAAATAATTTACCTGCTGAGATTAGGCTTGCTAAATGTAAATTTCTCTCCTAAAACATTTTTTTTTAAAAGCTTTTATCTCTGTCTGAATCTTATTATATGTTGTTTTACTTTTTTATATTCTATTATTAATGTTTTATTGTATTTTATCTTTTCTTTAGAAAGGTTTATATATTATTAAGAAACTGGTCCTTTAAACATGACTTTTCTTCAATATCACACAGAAAATGTTTTGCAATCAACCTCAGCACGGACGTGGGGGCCTTAAATGCACAGGGGTGCAGGCTCCTCTGAGTTTAAATCTCCACACACATCATTACACCACACTGTGCTGAAACAATATAAAAGGCCACAGACGTCAACACTGTTACTAGAACCAGACCATCCGCAGAGGTACTACAGGTTTGTATAGTTTATTTTATATTACTACCCCAGTATTGACACTGGAGTGCTATTAATTTCATCACTCTTTTATAATTTCACTTCTAGGTTTGTTTCTTTTATTTTTATTTTTGATCAAAGGCATCATTATGAAATACACCAATATTACAACTATAAAAGAGTTCATTATCACTGGATTCCCTGGACTTCTGCCTGAGTATTATGGACCGGTGTCTGCTCTTCTTCTGCTTATTTTCCTAGGTATTGTAGTTGGCAATGCTTTCATTTTAGCTGTTATTATGTACGAGAGGACTCTTCACAAACCAACATACCTGATCTTTTTTCACCTTGCAATGACAGACATTGCATTCGGCATTGTGACTCTTCCAAAAATCATTGCCATATACTGGTGGAACGACATGACATCTTCATTTGGAGCCTGCTTTACACAAATGTATTTTGTTCATTCTTTGGGAGCTATTCATTCTTTAATTTTACTGATTATGGCTTTGGATCGCTTTGTTGCCATATGGTTTCCTTTTCGATATTCTGTTATTACAAACAGAACAGTTTCTATTGCTTGTAGTGTGTGCTGGGTTGTGACATTCATACGTATGCTGGGGATTGTGCTTCACGCCTTAACTTTGCCGTACTGCAACCTAAATATCGTCACACAGTGCTACTGTGATCATATTTCAATAACTCAGCTGGGATGTGGTGACAATGTTACATATGTTAAAACTGTTGCACTTGTAAATGCCTTGATCAGTCTTTTGGTTCCTTTATCATTCATCATTTTTTCTTATTTTTTTATTATCATAGCTGTTGTGAAAATGTCTCACTCTGAGAGACGCCACAAAGTCCTGTCCACCTGTGCTCCTCAGATTTTTATAACCTGCCTTTATTATGTGCCAAGATGTTTCGTTTATCTTGCTCACAGTTTGGGTTTCAGTTTGAGCACTGATGCCCGCATTGTTATTACTATGATGTACAGCCTTATACCTGCTGTAGTTAATCCAATCATATACTGTTTGAAGACTAAGGATATTAAGGAGGCTTTGATACAGAGATTTAGAAACAGAAAAGTAAGCATTGCAATTAAAATTGATCATAAACCAAATATTAGGTAAAAAAAAAGTATATTTTTTGGGCTTTTATTGCCTTTATTATAGTGACAGCTGAAGACAGACAGGAAAGGGGGGCAGAGAGAGAGGGGATGACCCGCAGCAAAGGGCTGCAGGTTGGATTTGAACCCTGGGCTGCTGCAGCAAGGACTCAGCCTCGGTACGTGGGTTGCCAGCTCTACCCACTGAGCTAACCGGGTGCCTGATAACTAACATTTTTAATTATTATTATTATTATTATTGAAACTTTATTAACACAAGTTTTCTGAGTGTTTGGGTGCCAACCACAGACATATATTTTGGGAGTGTTAAGTACTGCAAGAAATTTTGCAAAAACTGACTTTCCCCCTCGACCTATGGAACATATACGGTAAACCAAATGTTATTCAATTATTCATTTTTAATGAAGTTCATGTTTGTTCTATTATAGTTTTCTTAATTAAATTATATTCATATTTAGTACTTACTCAAAATATGTTTTGAAGTCTATATTTGTCCATTATTATTTGTGTATTTGATTAAGCTGTTTAGCAAAGTAAAACTCACAGAATGAGTGCTAAGTAGATTTTTTCTAAAATAAATCCATCTTTTATCCGGCTATAATTCTTGAAATTTAAAACTATGATGTCTGCACACTTAAATGCAAAAGGACTGACAATAACTGTTTATATATTATTACAATTACACACTACTATAACTTCATTAAATATATTTCCTTGTGTTTGCAAGTATGCACTGGGAGATTTCCAGAATATTATATATATTATATTATATATACTGTATATATTATAGCTGAGAAATTCATCTGCATGCTGTATCCTGGACACTTCCATGTATCGATTTGCTCAGGTCTTGTGTTCTATATTTATCCAGATTAAAAACAATTCCTAATTATGTTAATTTTTGAGAGTGCTTGTTAAACTTCTTTACCCTGCATTCCACTTCTGACACAGTCTATACAGTTTAACAGAGGGCTTCTGAATGTAAACTTAAATTTGTCCACTAGATAGAGCCAAACCATTATGGTATGTTAAAATGAAGTGAACACTATGGATACAACTCAACTCCAATCTTTCATTTGTAAATCATGCATCTGAGATAGTTGGATGGAAATCAGACCACAGTTTCACCCCCTGACCAACATTAGCATCTTAAGTAAATTAAACATAAAGTACATTTCATGTCATTTACCTGTCTTTGGTTTTAGAATACATTGACTTTTAATACCCTACCTGACGCCCTTCATCATAATTTTTGCTTGGATTTTGGAGCACTGAATAGCTCAAAGGTACATTTTTATACTCTGAATTTCAGACTATTAAATTCAGTAATTTTACAGAGTGAGTCTCAATAACCTATTAGTTTGTGTTCTCTCTTTACAACAAGTACAGCATAATGTTTTATCATAGTCAAACTCAACATCATCCACAGAAAGCACTCTATATAAGAGCCACACAGGGTTTAATTTAGGGCCACTTGTAATTCTCCATTCACACTGCACATGGAAACATTAAACAAAGTATTGACACCAGGACTGCAGCCACTCTGTTGGTCATTGGTAAAAATCATGTTCTTTAATTTCCATTATATAATGTACAAAAAACTGATCTACAATATTCATGTATGAAATAATGCACTGAAGAAACAGACAAGACGAAATGAATGGGGAATCCTTGCTGCAACAGCCATGGGTTTACCATCAACCTGTGGCCCCTTTGCTGTGTGTCATCCCCGCTCTCCCTCCCCCCTTTAATTTCACTCTCCCATCTATCACTGTTTTCATGACAGTGTGAACAGCACATATCACATGAAATCTGATCTTTTCCAAGTCTGATTTTGGTCACCAAAGATCAGATTTTTTTTATTAATGAATGGGTTTCATATATCAAAATAATTTCAATAAAGTAACAGAATGCATAACTATCTACTATATAACATCAAATAATATATAACATCAAATAATTTCCTCTATGTCACTTTGCATATCATAGCTATGACTGGGTTCACTGGGTAGACATGCAATATCCTCAAATACAGGAGCATAGTTGCTAAAAGGTAGGTGCATGTTTAAAATATTTTCCCATTGCTCAAACATACTGGACGGAGCACCTTCAGCTTTATTCAGACCTGCAGCAGACTGAGAAGTGTGTTTTAAGAATGAGCTGACAGGCAAGATGCCTTGTTGTTTGAAGCTGCACCCTGACAGGGATGACTGCTCATGTATATATTTCCCAGTGCTGGTGACAGAAAACTGTCTGCACTCAGACTCCGTGCCGGTGAATGTGCTGTCTGTTTCACTGTCAGATGAGACATCGATCATTGTGGTGCACTTGGCGTTTCCGGACCTCGGGGATGCTCGATGTGACATTGTTTGCTCCAGAGGAGTGTTAAGTTTACTAATTTCTTCAAACGTGAGGCATTGTACAGGTTCCAGGAACTCTGGTTGTAGGAATCTCTTTTTGTAACTAGGCGATGTATGTTTGGACTGCTCTGCATCAATCTTTGTCAACAACTGCTTGTTTAGAGAAGCCACATTTTGAGGCTTTGCAGGACTTTTTGCCCTCTCTTCACTGGAGTGATCTTTTTTAAACCCTGCTAACAGCATCCTTAAATCTCCCCACCGTTTAGGTTCGGCTTTCAAACACTTTGTGCTGTATAAATGCTTGTGCCAGCTGAGCTTCAGTGAGGCAGTGTCTGAATGAAATGCACTAGAGATGCTGCCGATTTCATAATACTCCAGCTCATTGTTTGGCACCGGCTGAGCGCTTGACAGACTGGCATCACAGTAAAACTCACTTTTCCTCTGAGGATCAGCACCCATTGAGTCATGTTGTTTCTCTTCCTCTGCAGATGCAACACCTGTGAGTGTTCTGTTGGTATCAAAACAAAACGCTACATTGTCTGTTCCTTGTTCGGTCTTCTGTGGCGAGCTGTCACTCTGACACTTTGCATTCTGCCGCCTCACTCTGTAAAGGGTAACAAACATTCCTATGATCACCAGGATGGAGATCAGAGGAAGAACCACAGCTATGAGCCAAAGAGGCACGCTGCCCTGCGCCTCAGAGCACTGATCATGGCTCTCTGTTGTGGAGATGCATATATCACATGCGTGGTCAGAGACATTATGTAAACAGATGCAGGAGCTGTTCTGCACAGCATGTCCACACCTCCACTGGTTTTGACAGTGTGCAGAAAGACAACCCCTCCTGGTTGTGTCCTCCTCAGAGCAAGGGGAGGAGAGGCAGACGCCTGGAGAGCTGCAGCTCGACTGGACAAGACTCGGGCTCGGCCAGACATCCACCATCATACTGTGTCCACTGACAGGTAGAGTGTAGTTGGTCACATTGAAATACTGCACACATCCGGTGAAACCTGTAATAGGAAGAATGAAGTGTGCAACAGTGTAAGATATAGGTTATTTATCTGTCAACTTGTATGGTCCACATGTTGTATATTTTTGCAAAAGTTATTTAATTTGTCAACAATGATTACTGTATATTTACCCAATTGTTGGAGCTTTGAATTACCTGTCAGCGCTGCACCAAATATAATCTTTTCCACACTAACAGGTGTGAGATCTATACTTCCATCACTGATGTTCAAGCCTGGTTTACCATCCAGAAGCAGAGAAGTGTTCTGTCCATTGCTGACCAAGGAGAGGACATGCCAGACCCCGTCAGCCACAGGAGAGTCCACAGTGAACTCAGACAGGTGTCCTGACAGTGTATCTTTGAAAATGTACGCAGGCCTTCTGTCTATTATCTAAATTAGACAGAAAAAACAAAACAAAAATCACACCCCAAACATAAATACAAGATGAGTAAATACCTGGATGAAAACACTTAAGGCATACCTTCAGCATAACATATCCTGTCTGTCCAACAACAGACATCAACACTCCATTATCTTGGGTCTTGAACTTGATGTTCACTGTTTGGTCTCTGGTGTTTCCCTTTTTTTCATCATCCAGCAAGTCTTTCAGCAGGTAGTCTCTCTTGAATCGCTCCTTGATGACATACTCAATGTAGTCATTCCCATTAAATCGCAATACAACCTCCTCTGACATTTCTACTCAAAAAGAAAGAAACTGGATTGTGAAAAAAGTATTAAAGTTAAGATGCAAATTAAGAAAACTTTTAGATTAAAAGGTATCTTTACCTTTGGCACAGTTGCTTCCAGTAAAAGGGCTTTTGCACTCACAAAGATAGTCAGACCAAAGGTCATGACACATGCCACCGTTCTTACATGGGTCGCTGTGACAGGCAGATGGTGTTGCCCGAGGACAACTTTAAAAGACAAATATGTGTTATAAATACAAAGTACTGAAATAACTTACAGTGAGGATATGACAGCAATGGGTTAGGAGAGAGAGGGGGGATAGCATATAACTAAGGTCCCCAGCTTGAGTCAAAACAAAGTGCAGCGTCCCAAACCCCTACATACCAAGATGCCCTGATAATATAGTTTAAATTATAGAAACTCACAATTTAGGAAAGGGAATTGTGTGTGTGTGTTGTGAAAGGATTTAAAATACTTACCTATCAAGGATGTTATATGTTGCGAGGGCCATTGATGGTCTTAGCAGGATTCCATTCACATGAATGTTACGAATACATCCTACAAAATCATGGGTTTTTATCTGAGCAGGATGCAGTAAAATAGATTCAAAAGACCTCAGTCCTCCAAATGTCATATTACTGCCAACATCTAGTGTCCTGATTGTATGTAAAGACACAGAGAGATAATTTATTAAAAAAAAATACACACAAGGCTAAAAACTGAAATGATTAATTATGGGAACCAATAATAATTATTATTTCACTGCAACCTTGCCAAGCTTCTGCCATCGCTTTGTGAAAAACAAAATCCATTGTTCTCAACATCAGTGCAGTTGTCCACATGCAAAGAACCCATCTGTTAAATGCAAATAGTGCTACATCAGTGGTTTCAGATTCACTTCATTTCCAACCTAAAAATGCCATCTGAATAATCTTGTGTATTGTGCTGACATATTTAAAACTCACATTGCCAATCCTCCTGGCAGTGACACTATGAAAATATCCATCTGCTACTTGTCTGTTTGTCTGCAGCCTCACAGGTCCTGAGCCCAGGTCATAAGAAAGATGTATAGCACCATCCAGTATCTCCAGTGCAAAGAACTCCCTGCTGGACGGCCCTCCAGGGTTGTACAGGAGCAGGGAGTTCCTCTGCACTGTCGCAAACTCTAGAGAGATTAAATTAGTCCTGCGATCCAACAGAGGAAACTCCATGAAGGACAGCTCCTCAAAGCCATAACTGTGCTCCTCGCAGTGGACTCCACTGACACCTAAAATAAAGATAGAACATATTGTTGTTGTAGTGTTATATATTGTAATGAATAAGCTGTTTTTGATTGTGGCGTGGAAACAAAATCTACCAGCAGCATCTCTAAATCTCACCAGAAAACACATTACAAACATTCTTTTTGTTTAATCTGTTCAGAAACTGATAAAATGATAACTTGTTATTTTACAAGAGGTTATGTGCCAAACTGTTTCATGTGTGGGCACAGTAAGGTGTATGGAAGAAAAGAACTAGGTTCTTTGTTGCAGCTGGCCGGTTTCTGTGTGAAGTGGGTGTGAATGTTGGATTGTTGGTTTAGATTGTTGTTTAGCAAGCACTTCTGATGAAGTAAGTATACTGGTGATTGGGGTCTCTGCTAGCAAAGGCTTCTGGCAAAAAGTCTGGCCCATTATTAAACAAAATATTTATGAATTTGTTAATTTTGGACAGAGTCAGGCTAACAGTTTCACCCTGTTTCCAGAGATTACTAACCTAACCTTGCAAGGCAGCTGGATTCGCAAGATCCAGTGCCGGCGATTTAACGTTAGTGGTGTGTGTGTGACGAGTGTGAGAAGTGA